CGTTCCATCACCTTCCCAGGGATGGAGATACCAATATGACTCCTTCTACTTGGAAGCAAGGGCTAGTTCTGCAGCTTATGTTGAAGCTATAGCCTAAGCCCAGCTCATCACTATCCTAGCAAGAGGAGTGAATCAAAGCACAAGCTCCCTGGGCTGAGGACTGTCTTCCTCCTTAATGACAAAGTGCCTTTTGTATGTTTCAGCGCTACATAAAAACTTTTGTGAAGTGTTATATTGAGATAACCAGCCAAGGCTGTGTTGCTCTTCATGGCGACAGAGAGGGGTTTGAGTATGATGGAAATCCAGATTTGCCCAGGGTGGAAGCTTTCCACTTTATAATAGAGAACAGGAGAAGAAACCCTCTTAACAGCATCTGTGTCATGTAGACACTGCCCCTCTGTATGCTGCTGTTTATCATCTAAACACATCTTACATCCCTTCTCCTTCCTTTCCAGCATTCCTCTACTGGTGGAGACATCAAGTGTCCTTATACTCCTTAAATCATGCAGTTATGCATGTTACCATTTGGGGGGACAAAAACCACAACCAGGTGGAATGGATAAAAATAGTCCTCTCTGACATACCATTTTTGACAAAACATTTTTTGGGTGAAATTATACAGTCCTTTCACATATTAAAAAAACCCCAAACAAGTCCTGTCTTTGATAGTTTGGGATTGAGGATAGGAGTCTAAAATGGCTTTTCAGTAGAAGTTTTTATATAAAAACAAAACATTTGAAGTGTACAATGAAACCTGATACATTCATATTAAATGGCTGAAACAGTCTACATCTAGCTCTTTTTATAGCCTGAAATGTTTTGCAGAATGGAAACATCATCTTTCTGCCCAGTGCTACTGTTGTGCCCTTTTCCTCCCTTCTGTGTTTTTCCTCTTTCTTGTGCACATGTATTGTCTTCCCAGCTAGAAGATCCTGCTGGTTCCTTCCTACCTTCTGCTTTGGGTATTATTTCATCCAGGTCTAAGCAACCTGTTTCTGTTTTGTCTGTCTTCTGTAGCTATAGCTCACTGCAAAGGTAGCTCAGTGTTTGCTCTGAGCTGTACATCCTCTACCTGCTGCTGTGTAGCAGAAAGACAGACATAGCGCCCTGCAGCTTTCTGCCATTTATTAGAAATGGCCCCTGAGGAACACACACATGCAAGTTACAGAGAGTGCGAGGGGAAGCACATGTTCTCTCTTTCTGGTCCGAAGTGTTCAGTGGATCCTGGGTAGCTCTACACCTCCTCCCCACAGGTACACTGGGAGAGAAGTCTTTAGTGCACTGGGCACCCCCGAGACATTCTCTGCTATCCTCTGGGGCAGCAGTCACCAACTGCCCCCTGCAAGCTTTGACACAAACTCCTCTGGGTCTTGGTCTTTGACATCAGTCAGCTGAAATGTTGGCCAGACAGGAAAAAACACTTGGTAATGAAGAATGACTGACAGAGTCCAACATTGATCCACTAGTGGGACTGGTGTCCTGGAGAAGTTCAGTTGAGCTTCAGTGGAAGTTTGGCAGTGAAGACAGGAGACAACGCTGACTTACACAGGGCTCTCAGCTTCAGTTTTTCTTCTTGTTTTGTGAAAGTGCTTCTACCTCCAGGTACTGCAGCCCAATCAACATCCCCAAAATAGAGAAACCTGTGATGGTGATACAGGATGAGTTGTGTAGAACATGCTGGACAGGAGATGAGACCTTCCATCCCACCACCCCCTCCCTGCCCTCAGCTCATAGCCCTGTGGAGAGTTTTTCTGGGGAGTCATAGCTCCAAGGAGAGTTTGCTGAGGGAGAATGCAGAGTTCTACTTACTTGCTACCATGAGGGGTGCCATAACTCCAATTGTTAAGGCTGCAGTGTGGTAAATGAAGACCTCGGAGAGGAAGTGAACAAGGGCCAAAAAGAACGTGAAGAGCGTGATGTAATAGAGGCTGTTGGGAGAGCAGAAAGAAGCAGATTATCATACAGCCCATAGCATGGGCATGAGCATGGCTGAGTGGAAAAGAGGCAAACCTGCATGCTGCCCCGTGTGTCCTCACTGTGGCAGAACAGAGGACGCTTGGTCCCTTGCCTAGCAAGGTGCAAAAGCTCCCTGGGCAACAGGTGAGAGGAGAATGAGGCAGCAGGTTCAATAGTGCATTGAAAGTCATAGGCACCATCTGGCACCTGCCTTCAGCAGGTGAAGAGAGGAGAGTAAGTGTAGGGCATGGGTGAAGTGAGAGGCATGTGCACACACAAGAAAAGGGTGAGAACTAGGGTGACAGGACTTGGCTGACTCCAGGCTGCATCACCTAACACATCTTCCTACCTGTGCTCTGCTAGGGCCACAGCTGTGGAAAGGGAGCAGCAGGTCCAAGAGACGCAAGATAAAAAAAATCTTTCTAAGAAACAGCTGGCTTCAGGGTAACTGGCATTGCCACCACCCAATAAAAACAGATAATGGAGTCCCTTGCACCTCCCTACCCCAGACAAGCCTAGGCAATCCAAGGACACACCGCCACGTGAACAGTGACTTCTGCTATGGATGGTGGAGGCAGTGACTCAAGAGTGAGTTCTAGTGACTAAAGAGTGACGCAGGCTTGGCCTAGCACAGACCCAGAGTCAGCCTGCTTGGAAATCCCTCTCAGAAATACTTCTGTCACCACAGGGAGAAACGGCCTGCCTCCCACCACAGCATCAGGCTGCGCCTCGGGCCTTGTCCTCAGCCCCAGGGAAGAGGGTACAGGAGGCGGCAGCAGGTTAAGACCACAGCAAGGGGCCTCAGCCTGCCAGTTACCTGAGCTGTCACTGCAAAAGCAGCACCGAGCATCAGTCAGGCCACAGCAACAGCAGTCGCTTAGTGGCACCAGAGCAGCGGTGCCTTCAGCGGCCGCTTCCCAAACCAGAGCTCAGAAATCGGTGACACAATTGCTCGGCTCTACCAGTTTCTGCCCGAGTTAGGAAGCAGAACTGAACCGCGCAGGCTCCCCCCGGAGGCAGAAGGGGGCGGCAGTTAACGCACAAATCCCGCGCTGCGACTGAGGCTTTTTCGGGGGAACGCTCCCAGCCCTACAGAGAGTTCGGGTACA